AATTGGGCGAATCAGTGTGTTCATCCATCATTTTCATAATCACAGAAATCACTTCAGTTATGAAAAGACAATCAACTTTAAAAAATTTTATTGGCAAAAAGTCTGACACGTTTAGGTTCAATTTGTTTCATAAAAACGAAAATCGGCAATGCACATAAGTATCCAGTCTGTAACTATGGTGTGTGAACATCATCTTTTAAATTAATTATTCAGCATTAACAATATGGCATGAAGAGCTAAAAAATAAAAGAAACTTATCTATAGGGGGAGGGAGGGGGGGATTTGTCTCTATTTTAGTTTTAGCAAGTAAAGCTCAATACTTTACTTTACTTATTAAAAGTAAAATAAAAATATAGTGCCATCCCTATTTATCTAACAAATGCAATATATTTCAAGAGTAGTTTTCACAATTATCATTTTCTAACACACAACAGCTAGATTAATTAGGTTTACGGTAGTCGTCGGAAAAAGGTTCCCACCTCTTTACATAGTGCATGTTTCATAATGGAATGCTTTTGGATCTTTACTTAGGTCTAACCAAAAGTTCTGGCATCGCTAAAACAATATATGAAAACAAAGATATATTTTTCATTTTATTTTACTAAATGTTCAAAGTAGTCGCCATGATTGTTTATGCAAAGCTCCATCCTTTCGGCCAATAATTTGCCAAACGTTTTTTTTAACTCTTCTTCTGGAATATTTTTTATCACCTTGGAAACCGTAAGAACCAATGATTGTTCATTTAGTTGATCAGTTAAATTACGCTTGATGTAATCATTTAGCCAATAATCACATGGTGCAAGGTCGGGTGAATATGATGGATGCAGTATTATATTGATATCTTCTTCTGTTAAATAATTCATAATATCTGAATGAATATGGGTCGAGCATTGTCTTGAAGCAATTTAATATCTTTTGTACCTGTTGACTTTCTTTGTTTCCATATTTCTCTCACAACAGGCTTGATGCAATTTTCAATGTAATAGTTGTGATCTATTGTCTCGCCTCTATCTACACAATGTGTAAGAACTGGACCATTTGATTTGAAGAATATACAAAACAAATTTTTGGTTCAAATCTATTCCGACGAGCACTAGTGGTAGGTGATTTACCTTCGCTAACCCAGCTTCTGTTTGTTGACTTGTGATGAATCTGTCTGTCGTAAATCCACGTCTCATCACCTGTCATAATATCACATAATCGTCAGGAACCATCACGGAATTTCGCCAAATTTTCACGACAAATCTTCACTCGCTGTTGCTTTTGTTCATCAGTCAGTTGACGGAGCACCCAACGTTATGCAACGATTTTTCATCTTGAGAGTCATGGATAATTCGTTCTATTGTACCATAAGAGAGAGAAGTCTCAACTATAATTTCCTCCTAAGTAGAATGTGCATCATTGTTGATAACCTGTTGTACTAGTTCAATATTTGCAGTTGTCAGCTCGGAAACCAGACGACCAGATCGAGAGTCATCATTGATATTTTTTTCTTCCTTCATGAAAACGCTTTACATATCTGGCAACTGTTCGATATGATGGAGCGTTAGGGCCCAATGCTGTTGTAACCTCTTCATGAATTGTCTTTGCATCGATTTCGAAAACAGTTTGCATTTTTATGTAGTATCGATCAAATTCATTATCCATTTAGAAAATCTTTTTTTTAGATCAAATTAAAGTTTATCTGACAAAATATTGTAACTAAGTCCAAAATAGAGTCACAATATATTATTATAGACAAGATATTCCGCTATTTATTTATGAAAAAATCTCTTGAATACTAATTGGTTTATAAAATTACCAATAGTGTTGCCAAAACTTTTGGTTAGGCCTAAGTATTTGCAACTTTTCTTCTGACAAGTTTCGCCTATTAATTATTGTTGTTCAATAAACAATCAGAAATTGAGAAAATTAGAATACAAAAAGTGGAGACATCACCTCTAGATCTATTTTAGATAAAAAATTTCAGGTATCACGCATAAAGATAGACCAGTGTACATTAGAAACCATTTGATAACAGACAATTGCATTGTTTTGCATCAGTTGTTGAAATGGAGACTGGTCATCGACTGCAAAGATTGTATCACAGTCTGAGTGTGCAACTCATTCGTTTGAATCTGTTCAAAACTCAATCTACAGATTCGGCCATTATTCATCGCCAAATTCTAAGCACTCGTCTCTTTTTGATCTTGTTTGGCATTGCTCTTATAGTTCTGTTGACATATACGTCAATCAGTGAACAAACCAACACTGAAACTGTGCAACAGCCAAGTCTCAGTACATTCAAAAGACTGGAGAGAAAATATTCGAACACTTTGCATTGTCCTTGTGCACAAATATCAATTCCACATGATAGATTCGTGGAAACTACACCATTGTTTCATCAGGTTTGTGCCAGTGATTTCGTCTCTCAATCATGGATCGATTTTACTTTTGGAGTGAACCGGACGACAATGTGGCCAATGGATTTACGTAACAATCTGAGTGCAATGTGGCAAATAATTGCTGCTCTCTGTCGAAGTGCTACCAACGCTATTATCGATGCACTGAACGAATTCGCCAATGATCCGTTGCTCAGTTATACTGCTTTTTCGGAAACGTATTTAGAAGCCCAGGTTCAAGCCGCACTCGAAGATTCTCGACAAACAGCTATGGATCGTTTTGCAAGAGATCTCGCTGTTATTCAAACTGTCGTCCAGATAAATGGCTTTATGACCGGTGGAGAGACGAATTTCATGGGATCTGCTGGGGAAGAGGACGGCGCTCTGTTCATCGTATACCTTTGGCAGACGGAGTATCGACTTCCGGGAAGAAATCAATCAAGTTTCTGCCCTCGT